TATTAAAAACATTTTTTACGTTTAAACTTTTAAAAATTATTATAAAAAATTAATAAATAATTAATAAATAATTAATAAATAATTGATAAATAATTGATAAATAATTGATAAATAAATGTTTAATAAATGATAAAAAATTAATAAAAGTTTCCAACGGATTTTACCGTGCGAGTTTGCGAGCACGTAAAAACGTTTACGTAAACTTGCAAGTGTTACGGTTGACCAAATAAAATACTATATTAAAATGAAAAAAAAGATCGCGCATTAAACTAAAATGGGTAAAAGGTCACAAATTATAATTTAATATATACTTTTAAGCTTTATACGGTTATTTTTATAATAATAATATTATAATTTTAAAGTTAATAATTAAAAAATTATTATTTTATTTTTTTTATTATAATAAAAATAAATTTTTTAAATTTTATAAAAATTTTATTTAATAAATTTTTAATTTTATTAATAATTTTTAATATATATTATATAATGTTTTATATATAATATTATTAATAATATTTTAAAAAAAAATATATATTATTTAAATTTATAAAAATATTAATAAATTAATAAAATTTAAATTATAAGTAACATTAATCGGGCAGTAAAAGGCGTATTAAATGGGCAATATATTAGATATAATTGTATAATAACGGGGTTAGCAAGTATTGCACAAGTACTACATATATCCCCATACAAACTTACCTTATCGCACATGTATCTTTCATAACAATCCTGCCAAATTTAATAAAACCTCCACCTAATCTATCTACCTAAAACTGCACGTTTTTAATTGGCCAGCCTTATCAACCTCTCTAAACCAGCCTTTCCCAGCCAGCCTCTCCCAGCCAGCCTCATATCATATCAAAATCATTTATCATTTTAAAACCTCGTTTTCAGCCTTTTTCCATCGAAACAAACACATGCGACCGGATAATAATACTTAGCAAATACATGCGACCGAATAGAATTATTATAAGGCCTTGCATTATTGTTAAATTAATTGAATTAAATTGATTAAATTGAATAAGATATTGGATAAAGTGTGGTATTAAGATAAGGATAAAGATATTGCCGAGCGGTGTGGGATTTTAAGCCAATAGGAAGGCTTATATCTTTAAAAGTATAGGTAGTTGAGACTATTTTAATAGTACAAGTTTACAGTAGTGACTTTGTATGGTGGGGTAGGTATTTAACGATATATACCAGCCTGGCATACTGCCCATATAATACAACCCCTACTGCCCGACTAATGTTGCTTTAAATTATTATTATAAAAAAATAAAATTGTAATTATTATTTATAATATTAAATTTAAAATTTAAATAAATATAATAATTTAATATAATAATAATTTTTTTTAAATAATAATTATATTAAATATTATTATTTTTTTAATATTATTTTTTTAATAATAAAAAGTTTTTAAATTTTAACTTTTATTATAAATAAAATTGTAATTAATATTTTTATATTAAATAATATTTTAATTAAATATTTTTTATTATTATATAATATTATTATTTTAATAATAAAATTTTTTTAATTAAAATTTTTATTTTATTTTTTTTTAAAAATTTATAAATTTATTAGTTATTTTTTTAATAATAATTAATTTAATTTAATTTTAATATTTTATAAAATATGATATAAAAAATATTTAAAAATTTAAATTAAAATCTTTTATTATTATATTAATTTTAAATTATTGTTATTGGTATATTTTCATTTTACTATTGGAGTTTATTGGTACATTTAATATATTTAAATACATCTTACTTATTTTTAATTTAATTTTTATTATATTAATTTTTATAATTTATTTAATTTTATAATTTAATATATAAGATTTATATTATTATGTTCGGTTTAATTAAAGCTTTTTAATGATATAAGTTTTAATTAAATGCATGTGTTATTTAAAAAGTTATTTAAATATATATATATTTAATTAAATGTAAATACGACCGCAAAAAAGCTTTTTACGGAGCCTCATTTTAGAGTTTTATTAAATATATTAACCCTTATAATTTATTCAATTTTGCAATTTAATATATAAGATTTATATTGCTATTTTTGCCTTAATTAAAGTTTTTTATTAATATAGGTATTAACCTGTTACAGGTTTTCAATATAAAGTTATTTGAGTATGTTTGGTGGTGGTTTTTGGGGGACCATGTGATATCTTTTCGCGCGGTTGTATTTGTATTAAATTAAATAATATATATTTAAATAATTTTTAAAATAATGCATACATCTAGTCGATATTTATATTATTAAAAAGATTTAATTAAGGCAAAAATAGTAATATAAATCTTATATGTTGAAATACAAGATTAAATAAGTTATGAAAGTTGATATATTATAATGTAATATATTTGATTAAATTAAAAAAATTGGTAAGGATGTACCTGTTGTACAAGGTGTACCAATAAGCCCCCGATAACAAAACAAAGGTGTACCAATAACAATAATCTTTATTAAACCTATGTATTTTATAATATTTATATAAATAATAAGTTTTAAATTTTTCTTTTTAAATTAAAATATTTAATTAAAAATTTTTTAAATATTATTAATTAATAATTTTAAAAAAAATAATTAATAAAAAGTTTAAATATAATTTTTTTATTTATATTTTATATAATTAAATTAATTAAAATATTTTGGTTATTTTTATTTTTTTAGTAAATTTAATTAAAATAATTTTTATATAAACTTAAATTTTTTTTATTTATTTTTTAAAAATTTTATTTATATATATTAAATTAATATAATTTTAAATAAAAAAGTTTTTAATTTATTTTTTTTTTATATATAACTTAAATAATTATTTATTTTAATAAATTTTTTTAAAATTTTTATTAAATTTAAAAAATTAAAAAAATATTATATTATTTTTTAATAATTTTTTTTAATTTAATAATTATTAATTATTAAATTTTATTTGTTTAAATAAAATAAGTTATAATTTTTTAAACTTTTTAAAAAAAAATTAAATTATTTTATTTATTATTTAAATTAAATAATTTAATTAATTAAAATTATAATATTAACCTATTATATTTATATTATAAAATTATATAAAATTTATATCTTTTAATATAAATATTTAAATTAATTTATATTATTTTTATAAATTTTATTTATTAAACCAATAAAATTTTATAAAAATTTATAAAATTCTTTTATTTATAAATATAATTAAATTAATTATTTAAAAAGGTTTTATATAATAAAATTAATATTTTTAATTTTAAATATTTTATATATAATTATATTATAATCTTAAAATTTATAAAAAATAAAAATATTATTTTTATTTAAATATATAAATTTTATATTAATTAATTAAAATGGTAATAATTTTAAAATGTTAAGTTAAATAAAAAAATAATTTTTTTATTTTTTTAAAAAATAAATAAAAATTATATTTAATTTTTTTTTAAAGTTAATTTTTTTAAAAATAAATAGTATAATTTTATAGCTTTTAATAACATTTATTTTATGTTATATAAAAAAAGAAGTAACTTTTAAAAATATAAGTTTAATTATTTAAAAATAATTTAACTTTTAAATTTTTTTAATTAAAAATTAAAAAAGTAAAAAAAAAACTAAAAAATTAAAAAGATTAAAATTAAAAATAACAAAATTAATAAAAAATTATAGATTTATATAATCTTTAAATTAAAATTTTAAAATAATATAAAATAATTAATAATTTAAAATATATATGCATTTTTAAAAAAATTAACTTTTTTTAAAATAATAAAAAATTATTTATAATAAAGTTTTAATAAAATTTAAAATAAATTTAATATATTAATAATTTTTTAAAGTTTTAAAATTTATAAAAATCTTTAATTTAATTTAAAAAAATTTAACTTATTTATAAATAATTTTAAAAAATATATTTTTATATTTAATTTTTTCGTATTAATATATTAATTTTATAATATAATTTACTTATATTATTTTATAATACGTTTTATCTAATAATTATAAAAATAGTTATTTTAATTATTTAACTGGTTTTTAATTGCCTCGTATTTTAACCAATAGTTTTTAGCTATGTTGTCCGTGTGACACATACTAAATATTAATGAAATAACTAATGCTTAAGGACCTAGGTTATGGCACATCATCATAGTAAAAGGAGATATATATTATTCCTAAGGATATATGTTAAAGCTAACCTGATTATTGCCTAGTCTACAAAGACATGCTTGCCTAAAGTAGTCTTAGGCAACAGAGACTGAAACTGTCGAAGCAAAATGCTTACAATGCCTACATTTGAAAACTAGAACAACAAACTAACACTAAAAATCTCCCATCTTCGCGGTGTGTACATATAGAAAGCCTTACTTTAACTATCGTCGACTTAATAACTACCTGTTATAAGATTACAATCGTAATACTAACTATGGCAGCAACATGGTAGGTAATTACTGAGGTATTGTAACTATTGATATGCTTGAGACTAGATCTTAAAAGGCGATAAGATAATTAGCCTATGATTGTAAAAATGAGTGCTTTATCGTTCCTCGTAGTCTTTGTAGTAAATTGATTCTATCGAAGGAATTGCACAGGCAAACAATGTATAGAACAATCTGGTTTCTGTCACTTACAAAAGAAATATATAGATTCTTTAATTACAGTCATTCCATTCAAGTGCATTGCTACCTATGAGACAAACAAGTTGTAGGTGCCTAGAATGGCAATTCAAAAACACGCCCAAACAATGTCATTATAGTGTGGTGAATGAATAGGATATAATATTCAACCACCGTAGCATATTTCACCTCAACGTATCTACCACAACCTATAACATTCTAGACAGCTTAGTTATTGACATAAAAAGCTTTTTATAAGTCTGGAAAAGAAAATCTAGTTACCATAAAAGCCATACAACATACATGATGTCAGGTCTCAACGAGTTCGACAGGGCTGCGGTTACTTTTATACAGCAACCAATCAACCATTCATTTAAAGGAATATCAGTTATGGATAGGGTATCGAACGTACCTAAGCCGAGTGATGACTTCCTTCGTCGGTTATCGGAGTTCTATCATCCGATGCTCGTCGGTTTCGACTGGAAAGGCCGACTATTTGACCGCCTGCTCGGCCTACCAGCCGAAGACTACATCGGCGAGACCGATTTCATAGGTTGGCTTTTCCCGCTGCCGGAGCGGATCGGTGCCGAGACTTCGCCTGCAGAGGCCGCGCCTATCTTGGACGAGTCGGCATTTATGTACATGCGCCAGGAGGAAGCCATAGGACAAAATCTGAAGCTTGCTCTCATTCGTTTGCTCAACATATACGGTTTCAAGATCCAGTATTTTAAACGCGGCGCTGTCGAGGACCCTATTATAACCCATCTTGGTGGCGGAATGGAAAAGTTCCAACTCTGGGCAGTGGCGTATTCCCATCACCATCATCGTATAGCCCGCATCATCAGAAGCACCCGCATCCTAGGCTATGAGAGAATAGGGGCGGCCGTCATGAGTGCGTTTGTGAACACTGTTAATGATTGGGATCTATTTGGGCAGTGGCCTCCTAACATAGCTGAGGCGGTTCTGGAGAGCTGGAGACGAGCTGGGGAGTCAAAATTAGAAGTAGCGTGGGATGGCAAGGTTTATGCTCCATGGTTGTCACGTTACCGGAATGCTAAGCTTTTTTAGTAAGAGATACCTGCCTTTAACAAAGGGTATCATTACCAAGTCTTCTATATGACTTCTTAGTAGTAGGAGGAAAGTATCTAGTAGCATAAGTGAGTGCATCAAGCTGTGAAAGGCATATGAAATACATTTGATTTCATAAGTCATTGAAGATATTAGGTATCTTACACTACCTATACTGTTTATAATAAATCTGATTTTATTGTTATCTCGATGCGTCTTTATTTATTGTGTACCTGGTGTATATGAGGTGTTTGAGATAGCGTATAAGAGCTGTCGTGCTTTACTCCTCTTCAATTCAAGTTGACATCATTATGAAAACGGAATAAAGGAATGAACGAATAGCATAGCATGCATGTCGCGATAAAAGAAACTAGGTTAGTTATTGGTTGGAAGTTGCGACACTTCTATTTTTGCATTCCTCTGCAAGTTTGAAAGAAATCAACGTCTTTAATGTAACCCACCCTTGTTGCCGTATAATGACGTATGTTTTTTTTCGTTAGATAGTCCAACCAACAGCTCACCCGCGCCAACCCGCTGTCATAATCCCACCCGGCTTAATTGCCCTACTCAGATATATCAATGCAGCTAATTCTCTAATGCACCGCTGACTCCTGACTAAATGGTCGTTCGTCGATGATCTACATGCAAGGCTAAGTGGATTTGGCCGAGAAGAATTGCCACAGCTACGGAATACGGCATGCACATTGAAGTAGTACATTGATAGATACCTATGCTTCACATAGATCTTTTACTTTAACTACCTACCTATAGATAGAATCAAATAGGTTCAAACAAGTTCAAACATAAGATATGATAAATCAATTAATCCGTCCACGTAACTCAAGCCTCGTGTTTCTAAAAACACCGAAAACGGCAGATTCCGTTTGAATTGAGAGCACGTTACGTTTCAGAGGTCAGTTTAATAACCAACCTCTTTCGTCACTTATCACGCATAGATACACTACATGTAGCTTATCTGCAGGAAATCTTGTTTCGCATCGTAATCCGCATATCCCTGCCTTGAACTTTTCTTAATGGGTCCACACATCCACACATCCATACATCCATACATCCACATGTCCATACGTCCACACACCCAGTAACATACCACCATGTGCCCGGCTTTTTCTTTTGACAGCTTCCCTTATCCTAAACCCCCCCCCGCTCGTCTTCCACTTTACACTTTACGAGAATAACCACAAATATCTCGTCCGCATGAGTTGGATCTTTTATTACTACTGTAGCTGCCGTAGTATTTCCTTCTGTCTATGCGCTGCTGCCAGGCAGCTCAACACTGCATTGCTTCCACTGGCTGTACTACCACCTTATCGGCGCATATCGCACGAAACGATAAAACCGCATTGAGCTCGAATGATAATAAAATCATATACAGAAAACAACATCCTCAGCTAAGATGCGATTATCCAGCATGCTTGCCTCTGTGGCGCTTCCTGTCGTTTTTGCTGCTGCTCAACAAAGAGTTACTGCGCATTCAACAAGCATGAGAATCGAGGATGCGCCAGGTTCAATGGGTAGGTAGCATGTTAGCTTTCGATCCCGCTCGCCATGAAGAATGTGGCTAATCCTAGAGTCTTGATAGCCTCCATGCCTGTTCTTGTTAACTCCACCGATTCGCTCGCAGAGCCACCGAAGCCCCTGACGACTGTAGCTGCAGAGAAGCCTGCGTTGGAGAAAGCTTCTGTCATGGGTCTCATCGTCTTCTCAGCTGCTGGGCTGTATCTACTATGAATTGGAATGAGTTGCTGGGTCGGTTAGCATTTCAATGGCGTTTAGGGACATGATCATGGATTTTTTTTGGGGAATGGTCTGGGTTTGCTTCCAAGACGCTAATAAGCGTTTTTGGCATTAACGGTGTTCGCATTTGGATATACCCCACGTTTGCATCTTCTTAAACATCAATAATACTTCTACATTGAATCAAATCTGACCTAGCAGAACGATCATCTGAGATCTCACTTCTTGCATACTGAATATGCGGTGACCCGATTTAAACTGCATCCTTCTGCAGTTTAGGTTCCAGTAGATCACCAATCTTGCAGACGCAATATCACCACCGCTCCCTAGGGAGTATAAGGTAACCTGAATAGAGCCAATATGTCGCATCTCCGTTGATAGATAGGTAAGCTTGCAAAATGTGACAATATTTCGTCTTTACTGTCTACCCATACCGGGCACGAAGCGGTCCAGCTCCACAAAGGTGAGGTATCATTGTGCTCCGGTTACTCATTCACGGCTCGGCACTTGGCTACTTTCGTGTATACTTTCTGCCGTTGTGTATCATATCGTGCAATCTCCTTTCGAATTGCAAACGATTAGGCGGCGATAGGTACTTGATGTTCAGAAGATTCAGGAGCCGGAGGGTCAGAATCAGGCTTTGGCAAGTTGTCCTGAGTGTCTTGTTAATATGTGGATTCGCCCTGACGGCAAGAAAGAAATCTGAGACGAACTAGATCATAGATAACCCGTATCATTAAACTACAGCTTGGACAAACAGCAATATCCGTCGCTTCGTCTTGAAGGTCCATGAGCGATATCTCGAATCGATCGCCACATGGGCAAGGATAATGATAAATCTGTAGCGTGCCGTCAAAAATCATGTCTTCTATCTCGACCTCATCGTAAACCGCGATTTCTTCGTCGTCGCCCATCGTAAAAGTGCCTATTGATTTGGTCTGCAGATAATGCTAGATTTTTATAAATTGAAAGAGAAGAACGAAATAAATGACTCTTTTAGTCAAGCAGCCACTATTCTCAATGTATAGAAATTTGTTAAAGTCTTGAACGAATCAGAGCCCCGCGCTCAGATATGGATCGGATAAGCACGGCCTTGAGTTTATGCAACAAGCCGAGTCTCGCCCCCACACTCTAACGACTGGTTAACAAAGCCACTGCAGCTGGGGGCTACTGGGGGAAACCTTCAGGGAAAGGCTGGGGTTAATCACATGCTTAAAAGCAAGGACGTCACCAATTAGACAATTCAACCGACAAACCCGACGGTATTGGTCGCATACGCCGAGGGATGTTTAGGTTGCTTTTCTTCCAAGTACAATACATAGCTTCATAACACGAGATTCGGTCAAGCTGTCAGCTATGCGCATCACAATCACTCGCAGCCATGTAATAACGATATTTCATGTTGTGTAATTTTAACCTACTAACCTATATATCTTGATTTTATGGGATGAATTCTATATTCTATTTTACTTCGGGGTAAACAAGCTTTGGAATTTAAGCGAAATCCGCATCAACTCGCCTCGTAGAGACTAATCATCTCGTCTCCCATATCGGTCACCATGGCGGTGCAATCTAAACTTGTTCTTCCTGATCGGTCGATTAAGAGTGCTGTTGCGCATTTGACGACGTTATACGTCGATAATCGAACCCGAATTTCACGCGCCGTCTACCTTACTCTCCTCGTCGCACTCGTCAACCGCGTCCGACATGCCATTTCCGAGCAGAAAGCTGCGTCCGCACGCGAAGCGGCTAAGCGACGATCGGGTACGACCTCGAGCGACGGTGTCGATACGACGAAGAAGAAAAAGGTCGAGCTGAACCGCGAGTTCTTTAAGTCCCTATTAAAATTACTGAAAATAGTCGTTCCTGGCGCACGAAGCAAGGAGACTCGGCTTCTCATTAGCCACAGTTTCTTCTTAGTAGTACGGACGCTTATCAGTTTAAAAGTTGCCGAGATGGATGGCGCGATCGTAAAGGCACTTGTAAAAGGAAGCGGTAAGGAGTTTCTCACGAGAATTGTGTGGTGGATGTTGATTGCTGTTCCTGCGACATTCACAAATTCCATGGTAGGAAACTTGAACCCAAATCTATTTGACGGGATAATTAACAGTATCGTAGCTGTCGTACCACCAAGCCGAGTTATCTCTTAGATATCGAACACGATTAACCCAGTATATCCACGACAAATACCTTTCCCAGCTCACGTTCTACGGGATCTCCGCACTAGATGATCGGATAAAAAACCCAGATCAGCTTATAGCGGTTGATGTTGCCAAATTTTCTAACAGTCTGGCTGAACTGTATAGTAACCTGGCAAAACCAATCTTGGATATGGTGAGAACCTATGTGTATTGTGACATTTGTAATAGAAAGCTAACACGGGCCAGACTATTTACACTTGGTCGTTATCAAAGAGTGTTGGCGGCGAAGGTGTTATGTTTATGTCCTTATTGGTCCAGCTCTCAGCTGGTGTCATGCGCGCTTTAACACCTCCCTTTGGGAAATACGTTGCGGACGAAGCACGGCTTGAAGGCGAATTCCGGTTCCAACATTCGAGACTCATCGATCACGGTGAAGAGGTGGCACTCTACCACGGCCACGAAGCAGAAAAGGATACTCTCGACAAGGGATATTTTACGCTTATTAAACACGTCAACTACATATTACGCCGGCGATTTTACCACGGCGTAATGGAGGATTTTGTCATCAAATATTTTTGGGGTGCTCTAGGTCTCCTACTCTGCAGCGTACCCGTTTTCTTCAAACTACCCGGACAGCTAGCCGGCACTTCTAGCATGGGCGACCGAACAGAGTCATTCGTAACCAACAGGCGGATGTTGCTCAGCGCATCGGATGCTTTTGGACGGATAATGTTCTCCTACCGCGAAATCATGGAGTTAGCTGGTTACACGTCACGTGTTGCATCGTTATTGGACGTTATGGATGATATCCAAGCCGGTCACTTCGAGAAGAAGCTAGTATCTAGCTCGGGTACTGAGGATAACGCAGCAGTGTTGAAGGGTAGGGGAAAAGTAGTCGAGAGCAAGAATATCGAATTCATCGACGTGCCGATTATCTCCCCTAATGGAGACGTTCTCGTAAGGGCGTTATCATTTTCGCTTAAGCAAGGTGATCATCTTCTTGTCGTTGGTCCAAACGGTTGCGGGAAATCAAGTCTGTTCCGAATTCTAGGAGGCCTCTGGCCTGTGTATGGTGGCACTGTCTACAAGCCGCCTTTCACGGATATTTTTTACATTCCACAACGGCCATACCTATCGCGGGGAAGCCTCCGCCAACAAATCACATACCCGGATAGTCTACGAAGTGTTCGTGCGCGCGGGGTCACTGACGCCCAATTACTAGATATTCTCAAGATTCTCTCCCTCGAGCATCTTGTAGATCTTTACCCCGAGGGCTGGGATGCAGAAGCAGAGTGGCGCGACGTACTCTCAGGTGGTCTGCAGCAGCGTGTGGCCATGGCCCGTCTCTTCTATCACAAACCGCGGTACGCGATCCTAGACGAATGCACGAGCAGTGTGACGCTCGAGACCGAGAAAGTCATGTACGATAATGCGAAGGCTTTAGGAATTACATTAATGACGGTTAGCCACCGGCGAAGCCTGTGGAAGTATCACAGCAGGATCTTGCAGTTCGACGGACAAGGTCACTATGTGTTCACGAAACTCGACGCCGAGAGGAGATTGAAGCTCGAGGATGAAAAAGAGGACCTGGAAGTATTACTCAGACAAGTGCCGGAAATTGAGAGGAGGATTGGCGAATTGACCGCCGAATAACGGCGGGGAAATGGAATTGAGGGGGAGGGAATATGATGTACATATATAAGAGGGATGAGGGATGGGGGATGGGGAATGGGGGATAGAAGATGGGATTGTTAGCCTCGTGTACGAAGAACAGGGACTATCTAGGTCCAGTGATGCATCAACATGGTATGTTGGCAATTAGCTTGGGGACACCGCATCTTTGTCAAACGCTACTACAGAATTTTCGTCTGTGCGGGATTTATCAATTGGCCTCTACGTGATCTCTGACTGTTGAGTCCCCGCCTCGTCAGCAAGTTAAGAGATGGTGAGATGATCTATGTGGGACGTTGAAAAAACTCTATGTAATCTACCCACTTTACCCCTCGAGCCTCATCAGCTATAATGGACATGGATCTCATGATGAGGCTAGTCGGGAGACACTCATACAATAAACAAGGCGACATTAGTAAACAAAATTGAATGGGGTTTAGTCTAGGTTAGTTAGTTTTATTTATGTTTACTTACATACCTAAGGTACTTACTTCATTTTAACTCTGGGTCGTATTATGCATGTACGTAGTCAGGTGCATTATCTGCGGGCAAGACATTTGACATTTGATAGGGAAAAAAATAATTAAGATGGCTGAGAAATGCATGTACATTGATGCAATCAATCTATCTAAAATTGAACATGGAGACCATGAATACGGGCATGGAGACTTACGTAGGTATGTATGTATGTATATATGTATAGACAAACATATTAATTTACATGTAGTTAATTAGTTAATACGTTACTAATAGGTACTATATGTAATACATACTGTACTCCAATGTAGGTACATATGCGTATGTAATCCCCAAAAACCCGGGTATAAAAAACCGAAATAAGCCTCGACCCTGGATTTTTGTATCCACCAGACCGAGCGAAAGCCGCGTACTAAAAGTTCTAGTCGCGGCTTCTATGCCGTAACCCGTAACCGTTGTACCCGCATCCATCAATGGCGATAATACGAACTGCTAGGGTGGTCCCTCCTGCACCATAGTATCTAACCTATCGATACTATGTACATACATTAGGTACATACGTACATACATACATGCACATACCTCACTAATACCACCTACATACTACCTAACCTATACTATACTATAACCAAGGATACCTACACTATGACAATATGGGGAGAGAAGAAAGTCTCATGGGTCTCATGGATAAGAGACAATCATAATATTTTACCAACGAGATGCGTAATATGAGATGCACTATGTCATGCTGTCGCATCTTGGAATCCACCATCCCCTCAAAAAGTTTAGATCATCTGTGCTTTTTCTTTTTTTTTTCTTCTCCCCACGACACGACACGACACGACCCCCTTCCCTTCTTCTTCAGTGGCCCCAGAATTACTTCCGACATGGGAACCCTTCTTTTTTTTTTTTGCCTTTCCTCGCTCTTTCGGTCCCATGGGGCTCCGCAATCAACGAGAAGCCGAACGCTGGGGTTATTAGGGGGGAAAACGAGTGGCTGATTTCGGATTTCTGATTACGAACAGTATGTTATGTAGCTAGCTAGCTAGGTGTATAATAGGTATCTCCGAATCAATAATTTCCCTTCCTGGATTCCCCTTTGGCCCTTCTTCCTTGGTGGTTCGTTCTTTAGACCCTCCGATTCCCGCAATACATAGAGCCAGCATACATACATATACAGATAGTATAGTAGTAGTGGCTTTAGCTTTTTTGCCTTTGCCTTTATCTTTGCCTTTACCGCTACCCTTTTTTAAACCTTTACCTTCTTCTCCTCTTCCTCTCTTGCTTCCCTCTTCTCCCCCCCCCCCCCTTCTCCCTTCTATCCCGTCCCTATGATATGATCTTAGAAATATGACCTCTTCTAAATACTTTGGCCTTCAAGGTCACCTCCTAAGCAGATTGCAGACGGCTCTTATCGTCGCTCCGTCCTTCATCTTGTTTGGGTACAATCAGGCCGGTATTGGCGGTCTAATCACCCAGAACGATTGGGTTAAAACGTTCCCTGAGATCGACACTGTCCACGCCGTCGGCTCCGAGAAAAGCGAGAAGTCGACACTGCAGGGTTTCGTCGTAGCTGTCTTCGTTATTGGTGCCCTCTTCGGTGCGCTCTCGTGCTCGTACACGGGTGATCGATTTGGCCGCCGCAATGTTATCTTCTTCGCTGGTCTGTGCACCTTAATCGGTGAGATCCTCGAGGCGTCTTCCTTTGGTCTACCGCAATTTATTGTTGGTAGAGTTATCGTAGGTCTCGGAGTTGGACAGCTAAGTTCCCTCGTCCCCGTATGGCAGAGCGAAACTGCCGGTGCGAAGAACCGTGGTCGCCACGTCGTGCTAGACGGGCTCTTCATTTGCCTCGGTTATGTCCTCGAGTCCTGGATTAACCTGGGCTTCTTCGAATTGAAAACTGGGCCCGTCACCTGGCGCCCACCCATCGCCATCGCGTGCGTCTTTTCGCTAGTCCTCATATGCTCTATTTATATGTTCCCAGAGTCGCCGCGCTGGCTTCTCATGACGAACAAGAGCGAATTGGCCCGCGAGAACCTCGCTATCCTCCGGGGCCTTCCGCAGGATGCGCCCGAGGTCAGTGCCGAGATTGAGGGTATTGAACTTTCTCTCGAGCTCTCGGCCGACGGCGGCGCTAAGCTAAGCCAAATATTCAAGATGGGCGAAGACAAGCTAGCATACCGATTTGGACTTTGTATCCTCTTGCAGTTTTACCAGCAGATGTCGTATGTAGCATATTCGCCTCCTAAAGACCGAGAGTCGAGAATGTGATAGAAAGAAGCTAACAGAAATTCGCGCAGTGGAAGCAATCTTATCAGCGTATACGCGCCGATCCTCTTTCAGGAGAATCTTGGCTTGAGCAGCGAGATGTCCCGTATCCTTTCTGCCGGTGCCTTGACTTGGAAGTTCCTGTCGTCGTTTTTGGCCTTCATAGCCATCGATCGCTTCGGGCGACGCGCTGTTTTCATCACTAGCGGCGCTGGCAGTATGTTCTTTTCTCCCTTTTTAACTTGTCTTTAGGAGTCATCACTTCTATGATATGTCTCGTTCCCCAAGTTTCTCAGTAAGAGAGACGATTACTGACTTGTTGTTGTTGAAGTGTCGTGCTGCATGATAGCACTCGCGGTTGCAACATCGTTCCCCACGTCAAACAGAGCCTCGCAGATCGCCGCAGGCTGCTTTATTTATCTGTACAACACGTTCGTCCCCATCGGGTTCCTTGGCGCCAATTTCTTGTACTGCACCGAAGTCGCCCCACTCCGGCTGCGCATGGCCATGAGCTCGATCTCGACAGCCAACCATTGGGCCTGGTAAGTCATCCCATGGTTCTTGTCCTCTTGGCCTTCATGCGTGCCAAGTCGATCGGATGATATATACTGACATGTCGGATATAGGAACTTCCTAGTCGCCATGGTCACCCCGTCGCCATCTACAGCATCGGCTGGCAGTACTATATTGTATTTGCTGTCATCGCTGCTTGCGTGCCCGTCTCCGTCTACTTCCTATTCCCCGAGACCATGGGCCGTAGCCTTGAGGAGATTGACCTCATGTTCAAGGACTCGCCGTCCGCGTTGGCGACCGTTCGGTATGAGAAGCAGCTACGCCGTGCCGGTTCGCCGACGTCGTCGCTTACGGAGAAGAACAAGCTTGACCACTCTGAAGGCTAGTCTTCTTCCCCTTCCCCCCCCTCTTGGCTATCGGTGGTTCCTGGGCTAGGGCACGTTGGATAAACTGGACCGGAGTGGGACTTTATGAACCTGGATGATATGAATATATGAAGTATACGTTTTTTGGAAATAAGACTTTTTGCGTAGATAGAAACGCAAAATAGCATTACGTTTTTTGGATAAGCACCAGTGAACATATATGATGATCGTATAGAGACGTGTCGTAGAGCGTATTTTGTTGATCTGTCTTGTTTAAACAGAGGCCTAGACGGAAAGAAATATCACATGCCATGTCAAACATGCTGCCTGGTTGAGCAAACACGACGCCGGCTTATGCGCGATATTGTAGCCTAGGGATTATTTAGTCAATATCGTGAGTTATTATTAGACATTGAAGTTTCTACTAGTAACTTAGACTAAAATTTATTTTAACATTTCTCGCTTATTTATTCGTTAGAGCAGCTTGGAAATCGTATAGCTTATATTTTACGAACTCATTACTTTCACCGTATATAAGGCTATTCAAATATTATTAAGACCTATAATATCCCACGGAACCGTCCCACTAATATTTCCCTTTGAAACTCTATAATAGGCTCATCCGTAGTAGGGATTGGTTTTATTGCTGTCATTATGTAACTAAATTGTACAAACCGTACAAAGGGTAGTATTAGGTTGTTTAATAGACTTGAGATGAAAAGAAACCCCGCGGGTCCCGCGGCCCCTTTTATTGGGGTTTAGCAGCTGGACAAACTATTTTCTCACTATATTAACACCAATCTATTTATTTAATTTTTTGGTTTATCTCTAGGACTCTACATGATTATACATGTAAAAGCACGTGGCTGGAGGATGATGACAGATGTGTACGTATGTATGTTAATTGGATGTGTTGGCAGCTCGTGGCAATGATTAAGTCGTCATTGTACATGTGCGACAATTGGAAGATAAAGTGACAGCTGAGACCAATTCATTAATAGGCTATCGGCTATCAAATACCTAATACTATACAACTCATATGCAGTAACAGAGGTGTTTGCTAAGCGCTTTTGTTAGTGGGCTGCTGGTGGGGTCCTAGTTGGTTGGACGGTGCCTGATTTAAGCAGCCACGCAGCGTACCTAAGCGTACCTAAAGTAAAGAAGGGCAAGAGCGAAAGAAAAGCCAGAAAGTCAGAAAACATCACGAAATTCGATGCCCAGAACGTTTCGGAACATTTTGAACTTGATCTTGACAAAAAAACTCAGCCAAACTCAAGCAACTCAGCCCCAACGCTGACGCATTCAATATTTCGGTTTATGCTTGCCTCCACCACCCGATGACCTTCATAAGTATAATTTTTGTTATTTCGGATAATCGGATAGTATAAATACTACGATACAAGTACATAACAATATCTCAGCCTCTCACCGAGTTTCTATTTATATTTAAATTCAACCCAACCCCATGGTTGAACCTTGAGTCGACAGATAAACTCTACGCAAGGCTCCTCGACACGAGGTGGCTCGATCAAATAAACTTCAGTACGCTGAGCTCTCGCAGCATTTCAGGGCATTATTTTTTGCCTCCTGGAGAGGCATCTCACTTTTTTATTATTCATCCCTGTCAATTGCCCTCACCGTAACAAGACAATTTACGTCTGTAGACGGAAATTCTTATATCAGTCTATTTATTCGCAAACAATTCAGCGGTTTGCCGAATCATACATCCCACTAACCATGGAAGAGCAAGTCGAGGCACGTTCGCTGGCTTCGCTTAATTATTTGGCTGCAAATCCACCTCAGTATCCGAAAAAGCCAACCGAAGAAAGACAAAATCCGATCACTCTATATATTTCGAGAGTACCCGGCACGAGGGGTAGGCCTAGATAGCACAAATTTCGAATCAATCTTGTAGTACTGTTCTAACATCCAGCTTAGACATCATTCTCTCAACCTTGAAGCCACAGGTTAAGAACGTTACAGCAGAAGACGTAGCCAGCTCATTTTACTATGTCCACCTGAATACCCCTGAGGACGAGGCCCTCATACCTCCTCCCGGCCAACCCAAGCCTTCATCGTCTCCTAGAACGAGGGGGAGAGCTCAAGGTCGGGTAATCAGATCCATAGGAAACCCGTACCGGGGTCCTCGAGTCTTGCCTCGTCGCGAGTAGATGAAAACGTACAGTTACCTCCATCCGGAAAGGAGAACCAGGCCGGTGCCGGCTCTGTGCAGCTTCCGACCCGAACTACGGTCCAACAACCTGGTTCATCCGCTCCTTTATCCGAGCGGCCCCCACCATCTCAATTCGCAACACCAACGAGTCCCATTCAGCGAAAACCTCTAGGGCCAAGACAAGGTAATTTAGACTCTTACGAGAAAAGTCTACCGCCTGTGCCGGCCTATAATCAATTTCCCGATTATCAAACTGGTTTACATGCTGATCAACCTCCTCCACTACCAACACGGCCTAGCGAGCAGCCGCCAACATTACAACAACTTACTGATCAGTATGCTTCTCCATATGGTAACGGTCGATCACCGTCGCCTAAATCGCCAACTAGGCATTTCACTCCGTTTTCATTAACTCTCATAAGAAGAGACCCGAGCTCGGGACAACAATGGAACGTTGGGAAGGTAGCATCATTTCAACTAGAGAACCCAGAACTCATCAGCGATGACAAGTATCACCAACCATCCCCTTCGATAAGCATACACTTGGAGACATCCGGCTATGCTAAGTTTCGCGGCATGCCTACCCACCCACCAACAGATATAAGATCTAGCCTTGATATACGCCCTGAGAGCGCATCTTCAGGATCGCGGCTACAGCGGTCCGAGTTCCTTGGATCTAACACGGCCTCGAATACCTTTGAACGTCAAGTCATGATGGCATACTCGAAATCCTTCGCCACTAACTTGCGTGAAAAGTTCAATCATCATCGCAGTCGCTCAGAAGAAGAACGACTAGGCTTACCTACCATTCAGACTCAACACGGTCGTCACAGTAGCCATGGGTCTATTGCGTCGTTTGGCGGAGACTTTGACGGCGATGCCCCTGTAATTACTCAACCCGCACCGGGTCTCAAGCCACGTGGCTACGTATTCTACAGCCCGTGGGGTGGCCGCTGCGAATTCGTAACCGGAAACGCTGGGCGGAGTCTCGGGTGTAATCATATCCTACCCACATATGGCGGCGGCGTTTCCAACCCTCTTGTAGACGGGCACGAGTCAGGGAACAAAAGCCATAAGACCAGAGGGCAATCAATCAGCGAATTGAGGTTCAATTTACCTAGTAGTGAGTTGTTTGCCGAGAAGCGATCTACCGAAGGAAGCGTTAGGGCTAGGGATCAGCTACAAAGCCAATTTAACAAAGTTTTCCACGGACTCGAACACGATGAAGACGGAGATTGGCACCTCGACATGAGTCTAGGCAGAGAGAAAGCAGGCGACGGAGGTAACAGAGGAAAAAGAGCTAAGATGGGGAAGCTGATCGTATTTGACGAAGGCCTCAAGATGCTGGACCTCGTCGTGGCGGCTAACGTCGGGGTTTGGTGGACCTCCTGGGAACGAACGTACTAATTACTATTCGACGTTATTGCGAATTCGACCATAATCCTAATAGTAATGGCAAATGCAATGGAGGAGAATAGGGGGCAGTGGCAGAGGGGGCCAAAAGTTAACGAAACCGTCCGGGGATATAAAACATAGACCGGCCTGCATGAGATACCAGGGGCGTACGTAGGATCAGTGCTTTGGAAATCATATTGCGTTCAAGCAAGCCAGCGTTCAATTAGTCGTTGATAAATAGGGGCTTACTCAGGAGCTGTAATAAGATATGGCGGATATACGACCTATACTATATGATGGTTTCAAGCCAGCTCTCAGCTTTATCTAAATACATATGCTTCTACCAATCGGTGGGCATTATTATTGGTATTCTACCTATGTATGATATGAGTTTAGCGAAGTAGAGAAAGCGAAGCTAGATATGTGACTCGGTGATAGTTGATTATGCAATCGGTAATTAAATAGTTACCTAGGTGCATACTTCGTTTCAGTTATTGGGATTCTGGCGGATTAACTAAAGCTATATGGTTTTCTCAGTAGCTCCTTAGAATGACCATTCTAGTTTTTAAAAACCTCGGATGTGAAACAAATCTACGGATTTATAATTATTTCTACCATCTCAAAGCAAGAAGGGTAACATGGATCCTTAGCGACTTTGGGGGGGTAGCAGTAGCTGCATATATACCGCTTATTAAATATAACCGTATTTATTCCACTCAATTCAAAAAGCCGCTCCCGATTCTTACGTTTAAAAGATTAAGTGACTCAAATATTTGAGTGGTAATATTACCGCTTACGGTTTAAACGCACCGATTTTTTTAAACGTTAGGCTAAAATGAGCCATATGCATGCGGCTCCAGCCAATGAGCGGCTCCTGCGCCCCTCATATTTTTTGCGCCGCTCCCATCTCTGCGCCGCTCCCCGTTTTGAGCCGCTCCTCTGTTTTGAGTGGTACGTATAGGGTATTATTACATATGATTTTGGATGCACAGACCCCTTATACCCCATAATTACAAATCCACCCGCGTGCCCGTAACGTAATATGCTTTAGTCTATTTGAAAAACACGTAACCTTCCAATAAAATCAATTGTATGCCGTAACATGTAATTGAAATTGTGACCATATAAAATAAATTTAAAAAATAAAAAAATAAAAAAAGTAAAAATAAAAAAATAAAAGAGGTAGATTCCCATACAAAAACGTATGGGAATATACCTTTTAATTTTTATATATGCACTTACCCGGAGCGGCTCCCAATTGGGAGCGGCGCAAAAAATATGAGGGGCGCAGGAGCCGCTCATTGGCTGGAGCCGCTCACAGTGGGGGAGCCGCGCAGCACTTGTACCGCTCAAAAAAAATTGATTGGCTCAAAACGCCGATACGTATGAATTTGGTGAGCTTCACGTTTTTCACTAACATTTGGGAGCCGCTCATACCTGGGAGCCGTATATATACGGTATATATACGGCTACTACTACCCCCCATCTGACGCTAAGGATGCTAAGGGGTTTAACGAATTGTGGCTAAAGATTTCCTAGGTCGAGGGGCTGTGTACTTAGTTTTTAACAAAGCCACACTTTATAAAATAAGCCCCGGTTAAGAGATTCGAACTTCGTTGCGACGCATATCAAAACTAGTCGTGGAAGCAGAAGAAAGTCCAGAATGTTCGCAACTCTAGTACGAAGAATGGCAGGAGGGCCTATACCTCCTAGATTGAGGAATGCGACAGCGACGCCCTTGGTAGAGGCTTATAATAGTCCATACAAACCCAAGAAGATTTGGCCGCCAGATTTCTCCAAGCTCTCCCAAAAGGAACAGTTCCGGTTCGAACGGCGCTACAAACGGAGGGTAAAGCTTGCGACTGCGCGGCCTCGGTGGGATAAAATTGTTCGGTTGGCGCAGCTGTTTAGCGTGACTTGTAAGTCTAATAGTTGCATTCAAACTTATGAGGACTTATATTAACAGTATATTTCTACTATAGCTGTCCTGATTTATTCGGTCTTGTTTATGGATTGGCAGACGGAGAACCAACCGTTCCAAGGGGTATGTCAAACATTCCCCCTTAATCACAGTTATATAATCTAACCAATACATCTAGCTAAGGAGCAAGTTCTGGGGCGTACTCGGCGCATTCTCTCCCGCACAGAGAGACGAGAGACGAACTCCCGATATAGCAGCTATTACGAATTCCAAGTAAAACATATCACCTCTATATATTACGAGCCTCATATTGCATGGTTGGAGTTTGGGAATGGTGGTTAGGAATACCCACTCGATGTCATTTGCAACCCCGTATAAAGCCGGGATATTCTATTAAAAGACGATGCTTCTCTGATAAAATGCCTGTCCCAATCCGTAAACCTGCAAAACTCCAGGCACCATGTCTATGCATACGTATGGCACGGGAATCACCTGCCGGGCCATACGAAATGTCCTCCCACACCCAGCCCGGCGCCCAGTCCCGTGCCCCTAGACTCGTTGACCGGGCGCTTTGCGATGGTGCCTTGGGCGCGCACGCCGGCGACTATGCGGTCCAGGTTCGTCTCGATGACGACGCCGCCTACGATCATCTCGCTCAGGGCGGCGTGGAGGGTCTCGAAGTTGAAGATGAGGTCGAGCTCGCAGACGTTCTCGAACAGCTTGTCTAGCGACTCGACGTACACCTGGATCAGGTCGAGCAGGGCTAGCGGCGACTCGGTCGACGTGGATATGATGATGAAGTAGAGGGTGGCGTAGTGGCGGTAGGTCACGAGCGAGGGGACGTCGTTGTGAGGCTCGGACGCGGATTGCGAGGTGCCGGATGCGGCAAGCAGAGGGGGTAGGGGGAGGAAATTACATGCTCCGTCGGGGCGGTTCGAAACTAGAGTGAAGATCTCGGAGATGAGGCGCTGCTGGATGCTAGTTTCCTGCAGGTGAGATTGTTAGGGTCGATTAATTATTCTTGGTGGGATTGTACGCAGATGGCATGGCATACTAGCTGAGTATAGAACTTGGTCAGCCTTGGTTGGCCCTGGCCGTTAAAGACCAGAACTGCGTTTATCATGGCGGACTGCAAGTCGTAGTATGTGGAGGAGGAGTTAATATCAAAGCTATACTAATAAAGTAACCAAACATGTGAAGCATACCTAAAGTTAGGGGGGTGTGTGCTGACTTAATTGACCGCCTCGATAACCGCAATATCCTTCCAAATCGTTTAGTTTAAGGCTTGGTGGCTATGCAATTGTGCAGATACGGAGGCGCCGATCCTTTTAGCCCCTGACTAAGCCCGACAAGCCAAGACTTATATTACTAAAGCACAGACCACTATTTGATCTCATTGTAGGATCAGATCTGTACTTCTGTACTTATTTTAAAAGAGCCGGAATCCAAGAATACCCCGAGAGATTTTCCCCTCTCCAACTTCTATCTTTTTTTTATTTCCCATCTTGATTGGGACTACGCTCCGCCGTTCGCTCGAGGGACGGCGTATATAAAATCACTCTAGATCCGAGACGAGGTTATTTTAACATATCGTCATGGCAGCAATTACCTGGATCGCAGCAAGATGCATCAGGCTCTCATACGTCGGATACTATCCGCCGTGCCAGGGAGTCCCTTTCTCCAAACCAACATAATTCCTTTGATTGGGAGAATTCCGCCTTAGGGCCGGCGGATTTCTTCCCGTCATTGGAGGGCTCGATCGAGCCTCTAGTTGGAAATTGGTCCCTGGGTTTAGAGAATGACAGTATAAATGGTACGGAGTGGTCCCTCCCCCTTTTCGAGGGGGCAGGGAACTCTATCGTTTTTCAAAATGAAGAGTGCAACGGACAGCTGAACGGTCAGTTGGCTCTCTACGCCTATCCTGCCCTAATTCATATGCTCATACTAACAATTACACAGCTTTAAACACATTACCTAGCTGTGAACTCAGTCCAGATCTTCTATTCAATCCACCCACAGGTTCTCATATCTCGTCGCAATCGGACGCTGAAAACCAAACCCATTCTGTCTCACCGCCAGAAATGCCCGAGTCTTCTTCCGGCCCAAGTCAACCCGCCGCCAAGTCGCAGAGCCAGTCGCCGCCCGTAGACGCAGTCACGGCTCTGAAGCGCAAGCGCAACAATGCTGCGGCTCGCAAGTATCGGCAGAAGCGGATCGACCGCATCAGCGAGCTGGAGACGGAACTTCGGAGCGTCAAGGACGAGCGGGATGAGCTGCGACTTCGCCTCGCTCGTCAGGAGGCGGAGGCGGCAACTTTGCGAAGCTTGCTGCAGATGAACTCTGGGAAGGGTGAGAAAAGTTAGCAAATAGTCGGGGACAATGTTATGTGTTTCGAAGTCTTTAGATATAGCGTTTTTAATAACAAATTGGAAGTTGTGTTTTTTTTCTCAGACGATGTCGACTCGTTCTTTTCCCCATGTGATGTTTTTTTTATGTCCCGTAGAAGGACTGCAGAATAGTGTCGGTTGAGGGAACGTGATTGTCATCTTGGAATAGGGAATACGTAGGTAGGAGAGGATATTGATTCTAGCATACCACACATAGTCTTAATCGTAGAGCATAAGCTTCATTAAGTTGAATTATAGTTCTATTCTAGCTAAAGTTCTATATACAAGATGGTATCACTATCGCGTCTATTTATCCTCCTTCGAAATTTTACAATAGACGCATCACTATTGATGGGATATGAATAGTATTTATTCACGATGAGAGAAAGTGTTTCATTATAAGTAAGAATGGGTTCATGGTGAGTGGAGATGAGTTTAAAGTTATTCATGATGAGCGAGGGTGGCTCATGGATAAGTAAGAATGGTTCACGATGAGTGAGGATTGTTCATTTTGAGCGAGAGTGATTCATAATGAGTATAGCTGCACTTTCTAAGGGGTAGTCCCACTTGGCTACTATATAGAGTTTAGGGGATGGTACCGGGTTTCTTTCGTGTTCGCCAAGAGATGAGCCAGTATGATTCATTATGAGATATTGAGGGTATCAGCGTCGGGGTTACATAGCATATTTATTTATGTTGGGTACTTAAGATAATAGTATATATGGTTGCAATCTTGTCTTATGTTGATAATTAACTAAAGAGCAGTTGTTAGTCTTATGAGGAATGCCTTTTTATATCCTTTGGTGTTGCCGGCGTGACTCATGTTATATACTCCACTTACGTCAAATTAAGATTTCAAAAGACTCGGAAGATAGCACTCTACAAATAGTGTACCTATATTGCTAATATCTGAAGGCGTGGTTGTCTATTATACGGGTTCCATTTTGACCAAAGCGGATTATATCTAATCAATCCGACTGAGCGAGCAAACCCTATTAACGGGCTTAGGATTAGTTAAGGTTTACTTTGACTTGACGATGGAATAGACCTCTCTCCCATGTGGTCTTGGTCAACACTTATTAATTATCAAACCAGAAATCATAAAAATGTGCGAAATCATGTGGTTCCTAATAATGAATCAACTAACTTATGATAGACAATTTTATTCGTTCAATACCAAGTTCGGTTTGATGCCCTTTCAATACTTATCGTGGGGGATTTAGATCCTGACGGTCACTTAAGATAAGGACCTGGTTAGATAATAATTAATTGACCGCTATCTTCAATCTTCCCTCATGTCGGTTCACAACTTATTTAATAATGCAACCTTTCAATTAATCACCATAGGAGGTATTTTCTAGAATTCTTCCATGACAATCAATATCAGAGCAGGCAATTAATCCGTCCTTGCAGCAAATACAATTTATTTTTAGCCTCTTCCTCAATGCCATACATCCGTTTACCTACCTATGTATCTAATGTACATGCATGCATTAATACAACCTTGAACCTAGAAATATCGAAATCTTTCCTTAACAAACACATGGTGGATCACGTCAACTACAATTCCCGTTATCTCATTTGTTCTACCCTTGCTAATTCCCCCACGCGCGCATCTCTCAAATACATAAAAGATAGCTGGGAATCCTAAGCTTAATTTTTTTTTGTTAATAGCACTGTTCCCCATATCAAACTAAACGTCCCCATGTAACTAGAAAATGTATGTAAGCTGCAGCGTCTAGCATCAGCCTTTATTCGAAATGGTTACATGACAACCAAATATGGCGCAATAACGCACGCACATGTAGTTTGTCTCTGCCGATCTTATTTTTCAATCGGAAAAGCCGTATGTACATACAATTCCCCTCGGCGCTAAACCCCTTCTTGTAAATCCTGCGCCATCTGAAGTTTCAATCGGTCGGTCTGTGTTGGGGTTTTGGACCCCTAGGGAAATCCTTTTACCGTTTCGTTCGTTCGTTTTTTCGTTCAGTTGTTGTTGTTGTTGTTGCTGTGGCTTGTCTTTCCTCTTCGTCCGTCATGAGCACCGAGCCGCTTCTCGCTGAGTCGCGTCGAGTCCAGAGGTCGTCTTCAACTTCAGATATGGGCTATGAAAACGGGATCGTGCACGAGGATGTCCTCGATACTTACCGCGATGACCACGATGCGGACTTGGTTACTGCTACCGAGGCCCGCTCGCTGTCGCGTGGTCTTGGTCAGAGACATCTTTCTATGATAGCTATCGCCGGGTGCTATTGGTACAGGTCTCTTCTTGGGGCTCGGAGGTGCTATACAGACGGCTGGCCCGCTCGGGGCTCTGCTGGGTTACGCTATCGTCGGGCTTATCGTGTGCGCCGTGACTTTTGCATTGGGCGAGGTGGCTGCCCTCCTGCCTGTGACGGGCTCCTTCGTTCGACACGCCGAATTCCTTGTAGATCCGGCACTCGGATTTGCCGTGGGTTGGAACCTGGTATACGGCGCCGCGCTGTCGATCCCGAGCGAGCTTACAGCCATCTGTGTATTGTTCACCTACTGGACCGAGGACGTACACCCAGCAGCCTACATCATGAGCTTCATCGTGTTAACCTTCATCGTGGGCATATCCTTCGTGCGCGTCTTCGGTGAGGTTGAGTTCGTGTTCGCCCTGCTCAAGGTCCTGCTCATCGTCTTCCTTATCATTTTCGATATCATCGTTGCTGCCGGTGGTATCCCCGGGATCCCAGCCACCGGTTTCAAGTACTGGCGCGACCCGGGCCCCTTCGTTGAGTATATCGCCCCCGGAAATTTAGGTCGCTTTCTGGGCTTTTGGAGCGTCCTAGCCAGCGCCGTTTTCTCCTTCGCAGGCGTCGAGTCCATCGCCATGCCTGCGGCCGAACTAAGGAACCCGGCGAGAGCTATCCCGCGTGCTTGCAAGGTATTTAGATTATTAAATGTAGAGCCAACATAGCAGCTAATTATTTTTTGGTGTAGTGTGTGTCGTGTTCATTCGTGTGCTACTATTCTATATGTTGGCCATCTTCGTAGTGGGTTTATTGGTAGCCAGCGACGATGACCGACTCAACGATTCCTCAGGCACCGCCGCTCAGAGCCCGTTCGTCATTGCAGTCTCAGCCGCCGGTATCAGCGCTATTCCCAGTGTCGTCAACGCCATAGTTATCACCTCAGCTTGGTCATCCTCAAACCAGACCTTGCTATCCGGTACGCGTGTGCTATACGCCTTAGCTCTGAAAGGACAGGCTCCTCGCGTGTTCCTCCGCACTACATCCTGGGGTACCCCTTACGCCTGCGTGCTGTTCTACACCGCATTCATGTTTCTCAGCTTCCTGAGCCTGGACTCAAGCGCACTGACCGTGTTCTGGTACCTCGTCGATCTAACGGCAGCTAGCATTCTAGTGTCGTGGATCACGATCTTAATTAACCACATTCGACTCAAGTTGGCCGTGGCCAAGCAAGGTATCCCGGTTTCACGGCTGCCGTGGCATAACTGGTGGTCTTGTAAGTTTTGTGTATTTGAGAATAGTAGATGAGTAATATGCTAACCGTCTGTATAGACTACACCTCGATCCTCGCTCTTATAATGTGTATTATCATATTGTTGACAGGTGGCTTTGAGGTCTTCACAGCAGGAAATTGGGATGCTAGCGGCTTCATCTCAGCCTACTTGTACGTATTATCCCCTGATACTTCTATGATATTTATAACGCTGGTAGGTCTACGTGTGCTAACAGTTACGTAGGGACATGCCGCTCGTGCTTTGTGCATATCTGATATATAAGTATGTTAAGAAAACTAGGGTTGCGTCGCTGAAGAGCATACCGCTCGATGATGCAATTTTACAGGCAGATCAGTATCCCGATGAACCTGAGGAGAAATCGGGAGGCTGGAAACGCACGATCTCTTGGCTCTGGGATTAATGTTTCGGCGGTACGGCTTGACTATAGACTAAACCAAATAGACTACTATAACTCCTTGATTCCGTTTATGCCTTCGATACACTTTAGTTTCTCCTTACTCGACCTCGCAATATCTGACTAAGGAGATTCTGCTCGGTTAGCCACGCAGATTCTATCGGACCCCCGGAGTAACCTATTATGCCCCTGAATACCCATTCAAGCTGCGGTAATCTTGATATATCCAGTAAATTCACCTGGATTCAGCGGCTTCCCGGTCGCCAAGTTATTGCTATTGGGACCCAGCAATCTCAGGAAATAGTATTCGCCCGCTTCGGTATTATTCTGGTAGTTGAACCCCCAGGTCGTGACATTGACAGCTCCTAGAAATACGCCTGGCTGTGCTACTCCATCCACGAGGTGTGAATCTAGAGAATGTTAGCGTCGCTGTACTTGGGTCGAGATCTGTGCTCGACATAGACATGCAGAGTTCGTTATATCTATAGTAGCTGAGAAGGGGTCTATGAAATAGATTCTCGTAACATACTAAACACATGTCAGCCTTCACGCAAAAATTTAACGACTAGGAACCGTGGGCAGACGTACCAAATCTCAAGGTGGTAATTAGGATCAGGCAGGTCCGGGAGGCCAAATCCAAAGACGGACTCAGCAGGTGTCCCAGCCGCGATGAGAGTCTGCCACCGGTCACCCTCGATACCCACATTCAAGTGAGCCTGGAGCGTACCATTGCCACAGCGGAAAGGCGTGTCGTTGGCGTCGGCTGTTCCGTTCTCGGTCGTTGGGATCACCATCTACGTCGGTATTCCTATATTAGCCCTTGTCCTCTATTCTCCCTGGCATAAACCTAGAAACGAAGAAAGCGCATTCATACAAAACCCCAGCTACCACCACCAACGGCGATGGCGAACTTGGGAATGAATCGGAAGCCATCGAGCTCCTTGCCTGTCGAGTCGGCCACGACGCGTAGAGGCCCCGCGATACCGGTCGCATTGTCGTATCCAGGATACGCTGCGCAGCCCTCTATGAGAGGTACCGCCGTCACGTTTGGAGCAGCAAAAGCGACACTTGTTAAAACCAGGCCTATTGCCACTTTAACGAAGATGCTTCGAAAATTACCCATATTCATTTCCCCTTTTCTTTAAGATCAACGTCAAAATAAGAGTATCGCTTGCCCTGGTAGCTACACACAGGATGAGCTTCAGATTGTCTGTCTAAATTTATTCTAAATCGAGGCAGACCCTAATGATTTTATTTACAGGCCTACATAGAGGAATATATTAATCCGATAAGAACCCTTCTTTACTTTAGGTCGTGGTCCCTAATATAACGTATTTGGGTGCGTAAAGACATGGCTCCTCTATAGCAATCTGCCTCCTTCAACGGCTAATTTGATGTAGCCAATTAGGGTCTCGGCGTAAAATCTCTTAATACATTTCTCGGCAGTTCGCTATCATTCGTAGTTATTTCATTTTAGAATCTATATTCCACTTGCAACTTTCTGATGAGATATATCCGCCATGCTCGCAATTATATTGTAGTGCTTAAGCTAGTAGGAAAGGTGCGCCTGCGGTCTAGTGTAGAGTATAAGCATATATTTAAATTACTACAATTGTTCGGGCAACTTAATCCCGTTATTAAATATAACTATAATATTTAGGAAATATGTAGCTGAAAAAAAAAGAGTCTATTATAAATATAAAGAAATGTTGTTGCTCATTTAACCTAGCAATCTCGTAAGCTAGCTAGCTAGCTACCCCAACGAAACTACCCTAAACTAAAATCCTAGACAAGGGTCAATGTAGTATCATGGACTTAGCATAAGAAATGAAAATTTTCACAAAAAGAAAAAAAAAAAAAGTTTTAAAAGAAAAACGAAACAAAAAAAATACATGTCTAGCTCCACTCCGTTTCGATCGGAGGACCTCCGGGTTATGAGCCCGGCGCGCTTCCGCTGCGCCATGGAGCTTTTTGGAAGACATGGGAGAGATGTTTGGATGAATTTTCGTACCCGTATTACCCCTTATAGCGTTGCTTGTCGCACCCACCCAACTACTTTACGTCCATAAGCCGTGAAAATTATTAAACATCTAAAACAAATTTCTTTCTATTATTTAATTAAGTAAATAGGTACTCCTTGGGACTTATATTGTTCTATCTTTTAAGAGACTTTGTGTATCTTAGGGGTGCCTCTACTTGTCTTTGTTATTGCGCTTCTTTCCTGTGATGGTTCCACTAAGGAACATTTGCTTCATGAACACGGCTAGGAGCGCTTCAAGAAGACAAATACATTAAGGCGAATGGCTTTACACAATTCTCAATCGTATCTGTAGGCACGAGACAATGATTTTACCTACCTACAACGCGTCTGCTAACGTCGCTGCTCAGATCCCCTTAGTAGTGAGTCATAGCCAACTTGTTCAAGTACCAGGACATATCTATCCATTTCTATTCTTGTCACAAGATCGGACTATCTAGAAATTAATTCTGGAGCTTCATAGAGATATGTAAAATGATCAAAGGTGGTTGCTAAAACGAACGTTCGGATATCTACTATTCTGGCGAAGGCAAAAAGCACGAACCTCAGTACGTGCAATTGCAAGTGACACGGACTAAATTCTATTCTAATAATATTTCGATAAAAATCGTGTTCTTGTAGATAAGAACACGCCATGTAGTAATCCAGGTTTGACCCCCCTTAAAATCGAATCTATAACGGATATATGAAGAATTTGTTTTCTATATCCGTCAAATCCAGCATAGCAATGTCCACCTTTCTAGTGACGACCTGTCCATCATCATCATATTGCTCAACACGACCGGCGTCCCTTTCCTCTTCGCTAAACTCCGCGATCCATCTTTCTCGCTCTGCATTCCTGCGCGCTAGAATAAAGTGTATGATGAATAGGATAGCTGGCGTGCCGACCCAGCTAACGACAATCATGGAAATCCAAGCGCCGTAGTACCGGGGCGCCGCGACGGGAACCCATATTTGCGGCGACACAAGGTTACCGACGCTGTACCCGATCATAAACATGACGTTCCGTGTTAGCTTCTTGGTGTAACCCGCTGCCGACGATGTTGTCCAGCCAAGCGCGATGATATATGTGATACCGTACGTATGTCCTGCGAGTAGCAGACATGTTAACAATGCTAGTTTCCGATCCCACGGAATAGCCACCATGCCAATTCCGCCTGCCACAGCGGGAATGCACCAGATCAAGCTGTGGACTGCAAAGTTCCGCGGATGCCATTTAAGTGCTATAGCGGCGACGATACAAAGGACCACCCCGAATCCGCCACCTGCTACTGCAACCAACGTAGAGCCGAGGCTAGAGACCCCGAGAGAGGTAGTCAGGAGATTCTGTTGGCCATATGTGAGATTGTTTGAGTACATCAGCGTAAACGCTTGGAGAGCAAATAGCCACGAGACAGGGTCCTTTAAGGTCTCGATAAGTTGGGCTTTCTTAAACTGTTTCTGTTCGATAGAACTCTGACTGGACCCGTGTACCCGTTGTATAACGTGGACTTTCTCCTCTAAGGTGAGGAACCGGGCCTCGGCAGGATTGTTAGGATAACAGAACCAAGTCCAGATGGCGAGCAAAAGGGTCAAACCGCCCGTAGTTATCATAAATAACTTCCAAGGCAGCACCGAGCCCTTGCTCCATAGCAGACCATAGGATATAAACCCAGCCACGATGGGAGCCCCCTGACAAGTGACCCAAAAAATTGGCTGCAGAAAAGCTTGCTCCTCGCGGTTGAAGAACATACCGATGGTGATTTCCATGGCGGGGACGATAATTGCTTCGACGGCGCCGAGGGCGAGGCGCAGGACAACAAGCCCGGCGTACTTGGTAGCAACGCAGTGGAGGAGAATGATGACGGCCCAGAGAAATATAATTGCGCCGACAAATCTGCCAAACGGAAGCTTCTGTAGAAGATAGTGTCCAGGCCACTGGGCGGCAAGATACCCTAAGGGAGTTAGATCACAATATCGGTATAACGGTCCTACGAAATTTATACATACCGACGTAGAAAAAGGTATTCAAGTTATTATATTCATCCTTTGTGATTCCGGTCTCCTCAAACAGCCCCAGAATAGCAGCATATCCCAGCGTAGACTTATCGATCTATATCCACCGAGAAGATGAGCCTACCGGTGCCTGACATAGGGGGCAAGCGACTTACAAATAGGATGATATTGATAGCAGATATGAGAACCATAATATGGCGATACAATTTCCGCTTCAACGCCTTTTCCTTTTCAGGAGTCAGGGGCCCAAACTCGTCCCCATGGTCCTCAATCAGGCGCAGTGTAACATCTGCATATTTCTCAGTCACCGTCTTGGGGGCGGGTCGACGGTGAGTAGTAGTAGTAGATTGGGCCTCCTTTGCAGCATCCATGGCGGACGGATAACATTGGTTGGCGTACACATATTTCCCACGCGTGTCTCGAGAGATACAAACCGTTGCTTTTAAATATGAGGATGTTGCAAATTGATTAACTTGATGAGGCTTAAGGCTAAGGCCTTGCATGGTGACATCCGAGTTGCATATGGTGTGATCCAATTGTGTCATATACACTAAATCATCTCTATTGGCTAGTGCTTCGTTTTTTGATAACTTATCTATAGTTGAGCAGCGAGCACGTAATCACGTCTAGCTATAAAAGAAGTAATTGATGGGTATAATTTATAGATAGCTAACTAAAAAACGTATGTTTTGGTTTGATACCCTGTCCGTGTAAACTTGTGTCCGGCATACCTGTTTTGAGATGTCTGCTGGGTTGCTCCTTATTCCCACTCTCGTCGCCATACGTCAATATTAAAGTCCTGAGGCCTATCCATAGTATTTAATATATAATAATGCTCTTGGGCTCGTAGTATAACTCTATTGCTTTCACTATATATCTTTTTAACTGTCATGCTGTTATAGCTCACAATCTTTAGCATGGTGCCCTTGCTATTTTAGTGGCCAAAATGGTAGTCCACTCTAGCTAGAATGGGATGTAAGGTACAATAGTATGTTCTCGCCTTCTTTGTAAATTTAGCAACAAGCTCAGCTCTTAGCTAACTACATATAACTACATATAGATCATAAATTATCCGAGGATTGTCTACATATCAGGCCACAGCGAATCCCGCGAATATCCTAGGGTCGTGCTGCTTGTAGCCGACATGGTTATAGTCGTATTCGATCAAATATCTTCGCTACTGTCCAAACTATCTACTCTATTCAAACAAATTCCATATTATAGTATTATCAGGCGCCCACGTAGGAAGGATCTTATATATTATAACAATAGGAATTGATAGATCTAGGATAAGTAAAAAATCTTCACAAGCTCAGTCCAATGACTTTGAAGTTATTATGTCTTGGGCATATAAAGTAGTTCTCGTTTGAAAGGGGGTAAAATGATCATGCGTTTCGTAGTATTAGACGACACGACTTAGATAGTCGTCCTTTTAGTGAATATACGCACCCTACATTCTCTATTCCTGCTAGAAAATATATCAGAAAAGTTATCTGAAGCGTCTAGATTATCTGACCTTGAACAAGTTACTTTATGTTGATCTTTAGTACCGCCATAGCTACGCCGGTAGTCCTAATTGCTAAACGGCATCCCCCGAATATATGATCCGATCATCTTTGGTTTGTTCTTGGGCCCCTTTACGTCACCGAAAGACGGATCACCCATGAAAAAGAACGAAATTGTCTAGCACGAGTTTACCAGAGCTTATGTCTTAGAGTTATGAGATATCTCAAGTGCTCTTGGTACGTTGAGTAACAATCGCCTTCTTGTTCTCAGCCCAGACTGCCGTTTAAACCTCGCACCGAACTTGACTTTGGTATTCGTAAAACCAGAAGCGGCTGAGTAGAACAAAGAGGGAACCTAGGCTGTCTTAGCAAGTGGCGATTCTTTTTTTTTACGTTGTCTTATAGTAGTGGCGCCCTCGATATTAAAGTACAGAAACATCTCAAGCTACGGCCTCGCTAATGACACCTGCTACCCTTGAGATCAGGCAAAACTGTAATATAATCAAAACTATATTGGAGTACGATAACGTCAATTTTATTGTTGAATAACATAAAGCAAGACACCTAGTGATATTGAGAGGGATGCCAAGTAGGTTCAGGCGTGACTTTGTCCGAGAATTTCATCTTGGACTATGAGTAAAATCTTACAGAGCGACACGATCGTATGGATGATCAATCATTGTCATCTAGGATAACGGAGATGAATCTGTGTAGAGAAATCTTAAAGACTCAAAAGTCGGCTCATCTTGCCTGATATTTGTGGATTTAATGTTGTGTTGCTAATCTGTACGATAGAATTGCTTGAATAACAAAGTCACATGTTTTAACTCATGTCTAATGCGAGTTTCCGAACTGCCTTTTTGAAGGTGGCTGCGACATTCTTGTCGTGTGGCACGGCATTAATTATGAGGTCTTTGGCTTCATTTTGATTGGTCCGTCATGGTGAACAAGCCCCATCACCTGCCTATCCGGGAAGTCCCCCAAAAGGCGAGAGTTTAGGTGGCCCACTCTATGTAGGCCAGCGCGGCCTGTACCGGGACCCCAGGCTGCTCCCAGCTCTTTCCCCAGCTAAGTTCAGGCGGAAGGGTCTATTCATAAGATCGACACGCAGGTCAAACTGCCAAGTTCCACCATCACTGACGTTTTATCTTTAACCTTTCAATCTTTCAATCATTCAATCTTCGATTTAATCAAACTCGAACCTGTATTGTTCTCCTCTAGACAAGAATCAAGCTTTTACAAATAGTCCAGACTTTCTCTTCTTTCTTAGCCGGTCTTGGTTGACAGCTCTTTGTTTGTCGCATCATCACATCACCTATTATTGGCTATACTTATTCTACTATCTGCAAGCCACAATACCGCTAAATCCAAAAGTACCTTACCTACCTAAGTACTCTCATCCAACAAACATGCGTTTCTTCTCTACCATCGCTGCAGCACTTGCTGTCGTCGCCGGCGTCTCGGCTGTCGATATCCAAAAGTCTGTCATCGTCAGCTTCCCGAGCGGAACTACCGACGACATCGTCAACCGCGCAAAGGATGATATCCGAAAGGCGGGTGGCGTGATCACCCACGAGTACCAACTTATCAAGTACGCCCTCATTTCGATCGATATTCTTCTCCTTCTCCTTACCTAGATGTTTTATTTTGTCTGCATTACGTCATGAGGCGAAACATATTCTGTTAATAGTGAATGAATAGGCTGACTAGGTGATCCTTAATATAGGGGCTTCGCAGCTAAGGCACCGCAGAAGATCCTCGAGACGGTCTCAGCCTGGAGTGCCGAGTACAACGCTGTCATCGAGGAGGATCAGGTGGTCCAGATCTCCAAGGGCGAGAATTAAATACCGTAATGCTTGATCGCATACGTAACGACGGCCATGACTAAGGCGCCGGATGACCTGCCATATACCCTTCCTCCGCACTACGGAGCCCGCAGGTAGACAGACGGAACAGGCGTTGTTGAAGGACAGGTGATACGAAAAGTGGACGTACGGAGTGGATTGAATTAGACAACATCCTTTTGGCGTTTTTTGTATTTCTCCGGAGGAGATGGGTTCCTTAGGGTGGCTATAGTGTTCGTAGGAAATATCACACTCTCGCTGCACCATGTTCTTTTAAGATCTTTAATTCCTTCGAAGCCCAGTCGAACAGAGTCAGTCGATGTAATGGGTGGCTGTGCTTGTATGATTTATTTATTTGGAATATGCGGGTTGGCGTTGTCTATACGCTACTCACCATGACCGAAAACGCCGAGGATGCAAGGTTTCTTGGAGTAGTCTTAGCGTCGTCCCCTTGAATATGCATCAAGTCAGGAGGGTAGCAGGATAAAGTCCGGAGTGTAGTAGGCTTCCGAGAAAGTCCAAGTGGCCATATATGGTATTTAGAACATTGGCTTCGTTGGCTATATGCACTTAAGCCCTCAGCATCCCAGCAATCCGATTCTACGCAGCTGCCACGTTAGCCGCAGAGTATTGTGGAGTTCACGATGGAGTCTCACCGCGTTTGACTCCCCATCCCTGTCGAGCGTTGCTGTCATGCCGCTATTTCGAACTTAGGTGGGCAGATGAGAAGTCAAAAGCAAGATCGTACACCTTCGTGATGTGAAGTAACCATTGGATTTTGCAGAAAGACACCGAGACTGGGCTGTTCTGGTGTCTAGAATATACGCAGGTATACTCACCTGATGCCAAAATGATTATCTATGTGGTATTTGTGTGTGGTTTTTATTCCCCATTGAATGCCGTACATGAGTGGATCCCCATACGGCGTTTATTAAAACGGCAACGAGTGGAAGCCCTATTGAAGGAAGAAGCGGTAGGGCCATTATCACTTGAAGTTGGGTGCGTTGTCTACATAGAGGCCCAACGCTACCTATCCATTCGGCCGACTCCGTTAGATTCTGGTCGGAATTCAAATAACTAGTCGTCTTGTCTTGTGGAATGCTTTTTCGGCCACCTATCACCTATGCGTTTCTCGTCACGAGAGATGTTAGATCCATATGACTCTGCACCACTCAGCTCGTCTAATTTGAATGTATGTGGGATAGTCACCACCTTGAAACATCGTAGATTAGCCAATTATTTGTTTAGTAGATCTGTATTCCGTATGTATGCGAAAGTCTCCCCTTGAGATTCTCATAGTTAATTGAAATCTAATATTACTGCAGGCTAATCCCACGTGTGAAGGATGAGCGTCACAGCGCGTAAAGCTTTTTGACTGAGGAGTTCGTTAACTGCCAATGATTGTACAGGCATTGTATCTAATCGCGCAGATATCGCGTATAACGTTGGTATTTCGGGATGACGGACCTGTCAAGTATACTTGAGGGGTACGTACGGAATAATTGGCAAAGGAATCTGTCTTAAGCTTTGACACTCAAGTTGATCGTGTTACATCGCGGACACTGTGGGGGCGGATTGCATCTTGAAACAAACGGTAGTAGTGAAATGCGACGCTGTGTTGTCCATCTTAGACACCAGCCGAAGAGACAATAGATGGGATGATCATTCTCGATAAATTTGCGAGGTGTTCCTTTGCTGACGATGATCTGAGTTACGTAGTTATGTTTCCAGGTCCCGATGTCGAGAGTGTTTCTTGCGGTATGATTCAAACCGAGGATTTACATAGTATGATATATTCCGTACTCTTTAGCATATTAACTTGTTCATTAATGTCATGAATTAATAAAAGAGATTTGTTTCTAAAGGCTATTTGACTATAAAGGACTCGAATTATAAAAGAAATTCTTAGATATGTTTGACTATTGTTCCCTTTCTTTTATTATCAAATAAAGAGCGGTACTTGAAGTTGGGAAGTGTTCGCTATATTATTATTAATTATAGCATATTCAGCTAAATAAAGTACTTGTTAATGTATGTAACTACATACGTATTTACGCTATGTATAAAATCTCATAAAATCTACAGTCTTTCGTACCTGACATGCATAGATGTGTACCATTAAGCATGCGCATGTGCAGTTTTAAGTGTACAGTACGCCCCTTGTAATAATGTTATTCAGCGGACCCCTAGAGCTACTTTGCTAAGATCCTAAAGCGTATATCTATTGTTGCCCTATGAGGTTGTTATAGCTTCTCGGAAACGTCGTTTCAGGGTATTTTATGCTATAAAAACCTGGTATAATAGTTGAGATGCTTTAAAGGGCGTTTGTCTATCCAGAATTAGAAGCCTTGTTTTGTATCGTGCACGTCCAGTAAGCTAACATTATTACAAGGGGCGTACTGTATTAGCACATGCATAATCCCTGTAAGTACAGGCGCCATAAGGTGGTGGTCTCCTCTTTCGAGTGCTGTTTAATCGATATTGAGGGTCCACAAAGACCCGTGCCGCCTGTCCCGACGATCAGTTATTCAATAATAATACTATCCATTGGATGCTAGTGTATGTACATATCCATGGTACATAGGTAATGTACAACGTTTTAATACAATGTGGATAGCTGATTAATGTATAATGTACCTAACCTTATGTATTTGATTATGTCCCGTTTCTTCGTCGAGTTCCAAATGTGTACGAAACGAATAACTCGAACAACTCAACCCGCCTTTGAAATCAAGTCATAATTCCTTCACAGCCTTGTTGGCTAATAATGACAATAGAAAGTTGTCTTTAGAAATGATACTCTTGTTTACTTGTTAAACCTTAAACCATTGTAATTCTTCAACACAATGAATTATACCTGTCTTTTATAGCGCTGTCTTCCATATCAAATCCTACTTACTTTCTTCATACTCCCTCGATCGACATACCGACGTTAAGTACCTAACTCAGCTAAATATTCAGTGAAACTCAGTGAAAGTGCTTAGTATATTACGCAAATTTCGGGGTGCGATTACATCTGCATCCGGTATATATTTCTTGGACTGTCATTCAGCCATTCCCTTCGCGCAGCTAGCTGCCGTTCCGGTTCTTTGGAATCCATTGTGATTCACGACCACCACTAATCTTAATATACGACAACAATTAGACCCTATATCCCGAGGTAACGACTTATTACCGACATGATCCCTTCCGTCACCTCGCAAGCTACACAGGTAGCTTTGCTAGAATGGGTATGTAGTCCTCTATATCTTTTATACCCCTCTCTCCCCTCCCCCCGTCCCCCGTATACCTTCATATCTCAGGATACGCCCGACCGCTAATGCAGTGTCTTTTTATGTAGACCAATTCAATGCTCGCAAAGCTACTTCCTGGTCAGAATCGAGATATCAAGATCAAGAAACCCGATGATCTTTTCGACGGTGCTATTTTCTCCGCGCTGCTCGAAATTCTAGACGATGAATACAACCCCTCGAGATTCCAACAAAGCCTCGCCGCCACGCCGACCGATAGCGATATGACTCAGGGTAGAAAGCGATACCTCCATATCATCCACTTGGGTCTTAAAGACATCGCGCGACGACATGCCCCCAAGATCGAGCCCCTTATCGACTTGGTCGATTTTCAGGCACTAGCTTGGGAACCTACCAAAATAGACATGTTCGAGGTGAATAACTCTATATTATGGTCTTCTCAAATACGGTCCTTTTCTAGTCGCAGTTCTCGTCTACCACACGGGTTCCCTACCGACACTAACTATTTCCAGATTTTGGTCCTCTTCGTATGTGCTGCTTGCTTACGCGAGGACGACAACAGTCGGTACATCACATTAGTTACACAGCTAGACGAGAGGGTGCAACAGGGAATTTTCCGGATTATCAGCGAGAGTAAAACTAAGCTTGACCAGCTCGAGGAGACCGCCGATGATGATACTGATGCAAACCTCGATGATCTTGCGCAAGAAGCCGCCTTGGTGAATCAGCACCAGAAGCTACAAGAAGATGTGCAGGAGGCAACAAGACAAGCGAGTCTCTTAAAGGTACGATTAGACCGTCTTCAGGATAACTATGACGAGCTTCTAGAAAAGCATTCGAAACTTCAAGAAGAAAATGAGCATCTACATAGGCAGATCGACTCGGAAGTTAGCAACTTCAACAAGCACCATATCCAGCGCCAACTAAAAGAGAACGAATCAATCATCGCAAACTTGGAGAACGAGCGGAACTTTTTGGTCGAGGAAAGGGATCGACTTTTGAAGGAGAGAGCTCGCCTGGAGCAAGTGGCACAGAAAGCAGAGGCACTAGCCGACGAAAACCAAGAGCTCCGCTCTAAGAACGAGGATCTTTCTAAGAAGGCTAACATGGCCGACAATTTGAGGAAGAAGTTAGAGTCGATGAAGTCGGTAGAGACGGAGCTCAAAACACTGCATAACGAACGGGTTGACACAGCTAAGCTCCTAGAGCAACTTGAAATCTCTACGCTAAGGATAGAGGTCTACAAGAAAGAAGCAGAAAAATATGCCGAGCAATTCCAGAAGTATGAAGAAGAAGTCGCTAGTTTCGGAGACCAGAAGATTATGTACACATCGGAGATTAACGAGCTAAGAGGGCGCATCGAGGGTTTGCAGGCTCGAAGTCAGACGGATGAGGCTATCGTTAAAGATCTGCAGGAGAAGGTAATGATGCTCGACCCCACGGCCGCTCCGAGTACCCCCTCGGGGCACGCTCCAACCTCCCTTGAAGACGAGCTGAACGAATCTGGCAATGCCGTATCGATGAGGAACATCGAAATCCAGCGTCTCCAAGCGGAGAATGCTGTTCTTAGGAGTAGCATAGGTACAGAAACAGAAAAAGGTCAACTCATTCAGGAGATGGAAGATCTTCGCACCACTCGACAAACCCTGCAGGACAAGTATAACGATATTTTCGAGAAGTATACCGTTGGTCAACACCAGCTGGATGCACTTATCCAGAACATGGGTAAAGATGGGTTAGTTCAGGCTCTTCAAGCTTGTTATAGTCTCTCATCGAACACAACGTGGCTGATGTCCAACTACTTCAGAGACGAAGCGTATTCCAACCTCCGGACGCAGGTCCTCGCCGAGCAGAACCGTTCCAAGCAACTCGAGCGACAGCTAGAATCTACGAACCAGAAACTTGCCGACAAAGAGCGAGCTCTCTTAGAGTTGCAGGGTGATTGTAAGATCATCTTCAGGGAATACATGATTAGTTCGGACGATGCTGACTATGCCAAACAAGTTAACGCTGTCGAGAAGTCTAGCCAAGAGGCACTCGCAGAGCTTAAGAGAACCGATGGCATGCTTGCTATTTCCCTACGCGCCGAGCTCGAAGCAGAAAGAAATAAGCACAAGTCGCTAAGAGAAGAGTTCGAAAACCAGCGGTCGCAACTCTTGACGGCATTCATCGAGAAAGATCAGCTGCGACGCGAGGCCGAAGTAGCTAACCGTGAGATGCAGAGGGCCGCAGACGGGCTCTCCGTTAACACGGATAGTGCCAAGCAATCCGAAAAAATGGAGAAACTGCGGGCACGATACAAGCAGCTACAACAGGTGAGTTCATCTGTTTCTACTCCATCTCTCGCTGGTTCTACCATCGCCGATGACGAAGACGAAAATGGAGACGAAGACGAAGGCGTTACTAGAGTCACAGTCAAGCATCAGTCCGTTTGGGATGTTGTTGGCTCCTGGTTCGGGCAGAAAAAGGAAATTCCCGAAGATTCTCAAGCGAGACATGTCGGTCCCTCTAGCAAAGCTGTTCGCCCATTATCGGCCCCCATAGGCATTCCGCGTGGTGGTGATATCTCTAGAAATAGATATACTACATCTAGCTTCAAGGGAGGTGGTTTACAAGACAGTGCAAGTCCGGCATCAGCCCCTATACTAGCACACATTTACCGTAGCTCACGGGACGAACCAAAGCCAAGTGGCTGGACTAAACGGATTAGACGACGGGACGCTAGGTTTTCTGAATTGCTATGATACAACATCACTCCCGAACATACAGACTGACTAAACCTGTTTGATTTACAGCAGTATGAGCAGTCCGATGTCAAGAATCGTGAGTTAGAGCGGACACTGAAGGCTGTCCGTGCTGGATCGGAAGTCGGTGTCCAGAAGGTATGTAAAATTTTCCACATTTATACGTATATCGGTGGATCAGTCGAAGATATAGACCAGAAAAGTCTTTATCTACTTTGTAGTTTCATAATACTTAAGAAATATGTTTCTTGTTTGAATATCATGTATCATTATTTGTCCTGTACCTGGAGACGGTGGCTTATGAGACATCTCCTTTTTATTGCGATGGAAGCATTCTATCAACGCCTAACAAAAAAATGACAGGCACGGACCGACCAGATCATCAAGAACTTACAACGCGAAAACGCGATGATATCTACTGCATGGTACGATCTCACCAGTAGACTACAGAGTACCCACGTCGTGCTGCAGCGGCGACAAGAGGTCCCCCGAAGCTGGCTGAATAAACAGAGGCAGATGGTGAATGGTAAGTACCTAATTAATTTTATTTGGTTTCTCGGATGTCGATATTAACAAGTAGAACAGCTACGCCTCGGAAGTAGGATCTCAGTGCGTGACACACGCTGCTTTATATGGACTTATAATGCCCAAGATTGGACTTTTCTTTCTTTCGAAGTTGCTGGTAGAGCTGAATATGCCGATATTACCTTTGGACATGCGTGGCGGGGGTCTGTTCTTATCCTCTTCCGTCCACATGTTAAGCTCTTTTCAGTCTGTCTTACAACGAAACAACTACCGTTATATTCCCCCTTCCCCCCACCACGTCTCAGAACAGCATTTCTTTTTTATATTGGCAGGTATAGTCACGGCAATGGGTAGGTGTCCTTGATGATCGACCGGGCATATGGCATATATGTCTTTTTGTGCGTACCTAGATTATACCCACTTTATTATAGGTAGTTAGCGGTGGACGCATTCGAGAGAGGGAAGTCTATAATGGACTAGGACCACGATGTCTTGAATATGGAATTTGGTATTACTGATGACGCAAGTTCGTACATCGGCCGCAATAAATAAATATATGTTAAGTTACCCATTTAAATTGGCCACCTTGTTTGTTCGTAGTAGAAGCCCGGCGAGGTGTAAAGAAGGTCATACCGCGCGCTATGGACACAAATACCATGGTCTAAGTATAAACTATAAGGACTAAGGAACTATTATTGAGTGGCAATAAGAGGAAATATACGAATCTTGATATTGAGTTGGATGGGTGTATAAGCGTTGGGCATAGCGCTCAGCATTGGAGCCTCAAGATCTTACTATAGAGTTATAGAATTGCCTAAGGTAGAGTTATACCTTAGCCCCTTAATCCGAGCCGATAACTTAAGAGTTTCTTTTCTTTTTTCTTACTTTTGAAAATGAGAAGCGTTTTCCTATAAATTGATAGATCGCGTCATCTGTCTTCAATAGAATCACTTCACCCCTTACTATCATATTCACCCATCTCCTTTAAAACGGTATACTTCAGTTCTAACATCGTCAAAGAAGATGGGCTCCTTTCGTGACTTCATCGCAAGGCGAAAGCGAAAGCGAATAGGGCCCTCACATCAGCCACAACAAGACCAGACACCAAATACTACATGCTTTATTCTGGAACTGCCGGTGGAGCTGGTAACCTATCTGTCAAGCTTTCTGAACACCTCTAGCTGCATGCTATTCTCACATACGTGTAGTGCGATATACAAAATATTAAACACTGAACCAACTAACATCTATCACAAGAACGATCCCCGCTATACTCGCTGGGAATACATCAACTACCTTAGCTTGCTTTCAAGAGACCTTCCGGATTATTGGGTCTGTGAAGCATGTAATACACTACATATTGTCGACGAACGGGACGTGCCTAGTGAACCAGTAAATTTCACTTGCCCTCTCGGGTTGAACCGCTGGAGGACGGTTGTCTATAACGACCAGACTAGGATAGATAGTCGTTTTCTTACCCTACATCATCGGCATATTCAGCTCGCTCTGAAGTATACGCGCATGAAGGACCCCAAATATGATACTTATCTCCGAGCACTGCTAAAGCCGTACCATGTTTCGCATTTCCCTTCTCGTATGGATGCGTTCTGGTCGCCGCTAGATTCACATTCTCTTCCTGTTCAAAGCTACGTACTCAGCTTACCCTAAAATCGTTTCCGATCCCGATGGCAAGCTCAGATTTTTACTCTTATCCACCTGGGTTTACAACGCAAACCAGAACATAGCTATTTCACACATAGCTCTGGGTGAATTAGCCATATGCCCACACACCCGGTTTCGCTCAGAAAGGAACATCTATTACATCCGTACAAGGGGACCTGCGCTCGAGAATGCTCTTGACGGCGCGACCGGAAGGATACGACAATACCAATATAGAGACATAGAAACGTCCACCGGCTCATGCTCACGATGTCCTACAGACTTTACGTTACGAGTAACGACGCACTACGTCGAAATCCAGGCCTGGCAAGATATGGGAACGGAGGGATCGCCGAGGGACTTATCCTGGACAATTCATGCCATGGGCTTCATTCGTGGGGACAGCAGAGACTACCTAAGCGCCTCGATCCCACATATTCCAGGGAGCATCCGAGAGCGTTTCAACGTTACGCAAGACTCCAAGCTAGAACACCCACGCACACAGGAGCGTATAACCAATCCAATCTACAGGTTTTGGGCAAGTTTATTTACTGAGGCACCGCCAGTTATCGACACGTCGGTTGGCAGACCAGTTGATAACTTTGAAAGATAATCTCCCTTATTGTTAGATTCCTCGGGGGTATAACTACCGAAAATCTCTGATCGATATGAGATTACCGTAACGACGAACAATCAAGAGAGCAATTACTAAGCCTAACGAATATAAGAAAGAATAACTATAAAAAAAAGAAATATAACGATAAAATATAAAAAAAAAATATATATATATATATATATAAAAATATATAGCCTTCCTCCTTAGGTCTAGCGCCTACCGAACGGCAACTTATTTCGGCTATTCGAAGAGAACAGCCACCCTTCAGCCACTAGAGACCGGAGACTAGCAAAACTACCTAGGGAGAGAAATTGGAACTTTTAACTTTTAAACTTTCTACAGCTGAAAATGGAACCCTCGTTATGCCGCACCGCCTCATATGCAGGCACGGCTTCCTATCCCCTTAGGTACATACCCGAGTATGTATCTTACCTATTTTACCTATCTTACCTAATGTAACTGTAACCTTAGCTGTCTTAAGTAGGGGGCGAATTACCTACCATAGCGGCAAAGGGTGGTTTTGAGAAACGATTCCTCGACCGAGTACCGTACCTCCCATATGCATTATTCATTAGAGAAGCAACGTTATTTCTCAGAGAATTATTTCTCGATAAATAATCGTTTCTTAAAAAATAATAAAAATTTCAATCCTTTTATTTTTTTTTTTAACTTTTTCTTTTCTTTTCTTTTTACACTCGAGCTGATTCGAATAGTGGACTTTGGACATATTACGGGATTTACGGGTTGCAAGTTTTACTACTAGGCCAATTGGGGACACATGCACGCGAGAATGTCTTATTATTCAGCACTATATACTTTATTTAATTAAAAAAAAATCTTAATTTTAAATTCGGAAACAATTTTCCACTTGAAAACGATTTTCTACCTAAAAATGATAATCTAGACAAAAACGATTTTTTTCAGGTAAATAATTATAAGTATGAATAACCGTTTCTCAAAACCACCCTTTGCCGCTATGGTACCTAAGGTAAGCACCCCCTAAGCAACCCCTAAGCTGATTTCAAAATGATTGTAAAATGATTGCAAATCTCTCTTAACTGCAACTTCGTTAACTGTTAACTACAGACATCAGTTTGCCGATTGCTTATCTGACCATCAATAAAGTTTAATCAGCCCTGGTTCATTCGCGCGATTTCATATCAAATCAAATCAAATCAAACCAAATCAAACCCATAACCTAATTAAGATATATTGACATATCATATTCTAATTAACAATGTCGCCGATCGTCTACACCTATTCATTCCTACTAAGATGAATCTAGTAGCAAAAGCACCAATAGCAACGATAACATCAATAACACCACCAACAACAACAGCAGCAGCAGCAACATTAGTAGCGGCCATGTCTCGTGTTCAATATAGATCGCATCATTCACAATGAACACGTCTAATCATTCCAGTGAGACCAACAAGGGTCGCGATATATTCCTTCTTCCGCCATCAGATCCCGAACTAATCTCAAAAATCCCAAGAATTCTCCCTCATGAACGCGTTTTCCCTATTCAGATAGGAACTGAATTATTCAAACTTTCTGGAGCCTCTCTTTCATCTGACGGTGCGTGAGAAAGCAATCCTTACCCTCAATTCTTATCTACCTAAGGCGCAGAATGTCAGCCATACTTTTAACACCTGCAGCCATTCCTGTCGGGAGAGTGAATCTCATTTTTGGCTTTGTATAAAGGACGCGTCACTCTTAAGGATACTTTGCTGACCCGATCATCCAGCTCCGTCTTATTTCTCACGTATTTTCAGTGTCAAGTTGCGAGAGCTGAAGAAGCCGGCGAAGATATATCAACGGCAATACGGACCCTTTATATAGATCGGGATCCCGTTACCTTTAGAGATATTTCCCTTCATTTACAGGGCTACCATGTCACCCCACGTGATGGGACACACTTCGTGCGTCTCTTCGCAGACGCTCAGTTCTACACTCTACCTAAGTTAATGTCGCGACTTTATGAAGAGTCTATCTTCATTTCTATAGGCCATCGCGAATTCCAGATTCCGCGCGATATATTTAGTGGTCCCGGAAATTCGCCTAATTTCTTTCTTTGGGTTTTGGTGTTTCTTTTCGACACGCGAGGAGATATTCCCTGGGCTTGAAAAGGAACATCTGATCCGCCCACCCTCTATTATGCCACCTTGTGTACCGAACCGGTCTGCTGATATCTTTAATGAGCTGCTACACCTGTTGCGAGGATATCCCGTACGCATACGCGACGAGGAACATCGCGCCTCATTGCTGCGCGATTGTCGTTATTTCAACTTTAAGGGCCTAGAACAGAAATTAATCCCGCATCAGATAAGCTATAACCTAGCTCGGCGACGACACGAAATTACACTTAGAGTTGAAGATATTCTGAAATCAGGTATCTCGATTGCTAGCGATGTTATGACACCGAGTAGTACTGGTGAATCCGTGTCAGGGTGGGTTAATTATATGCGACCGTATGAAGATGATAAGCAGCATGAACTCATCCTTGAAATTGGAGGCGAGAAACAAAGTTGCATCTGAACATCATGCGAGCAGAATTCTTCGGCCAGATCAAAGTTCGCGTAGCAAGGCTCTTCGAAGTAATCGCTACGAAACTTAACCTTCCACCAACAACCCAGCCATTGGGACTATTAATGGCATCAGGCGGGGCTAGCAGCCAACCAGCGACACCAGGAAACACCCCGTTGAGTGAGGATCTCGTTCGGGTAGTAATGGAACCCGATACACATATTATCCTCGACGGTAAAACATATAACTTTACAGAAAACGATGAAATGGCTACTGCCATGTCAACTTCATCGTCAATGGGCCACGGCGGCGGGCAGGAGTCGCCGCTTTCTAGTATAGGTGGATATTTCGGACCTGCAAGGAAAAGGAGGCGGATAGACCTCTCGAGCCATACGGCAGACGAGTGGATAGTCCGCACGGGACAGTGGAGGCTCCGGATACAAGGATCGAGGAACGGAAAGAGCGCGGTCGAGTGTGTGCTTGTAGCCGTCAAGATCGATGCCTACAGCACTGAGCAAGCGAGAAACGCTCAGCGAGGATTTTTAAGGGGTTAATGATGCGATGACCCCCAATATTTAGTGCACTTTACGATGGATCAGTCTTTGTTTACCGGATCTGTGCTTGTACTAACTGATATTATGTTATGTATCTATATGATGGATATTATAAATGCATTGCTTTTATATTAGTATTAGCAACTTGTTCAGTTTTAATAACAATTATGCGCAAGGCTATGAGTGGAAAATCTAGGTGACTGAGTACAGGTAGTAGGCAGTCAATGCCCCAAGTGACTACCTACCTATTCTTCCTAGTTCCATAGTGCTACCCGTGTCTATATCTGAGCTAGCATATCCAACAAGCTGGTAGCTTCATCTAATTTGCCTCGCTGATACTCCTACGATGGTGAAAAGATACGGGGTAGAGTCAACTACGGGACTGGTAATGAGTGCATATAGAGTCTGAACAATTGGATTCATGTTATGATACTAAAGCTAACATTATAGATCTATCTCTTTAGATTACCTAACTTACCTATACAATAACTAGTAGGCCTTGAGTTTTCTAGCTGGTCGGCTATGCGAGGTACGTACTACGGAGCCATGGTCCTTGCGCGGTAGGTATCTCGTGGTTGCTGATGTGCTCCGGGTACCTACTCGCTGCATGGATAGGGATGTCCCTAGGTATGGATACCTAACCTATTCGCCGTGGCTATCGTAACTTACTTGCAAGGAATATTTCCTACGTCTATTAATATAAGAGTCAAGACTTATCACTACCGCAACGATGGGAATCGGGATTCTTAGAGTTATATGGTATTTCATTTCAAGTAAGGTGAATTAGGTAGCTGAATCTAAAGGGGGGCTTTGTAGCGTAGATAGGTACGTAAGGTATGTGAAGATTGATATTGTTGTGCGTCTTTGTGGTTGATACAAGGGCCCGTGATACCGTATGACTATAAGTAATAATGTCTATTTGGGTCTCGTAGTATCTATGATGAATCTGGATAAATATATGTAAGGTTGTGGGGATTACAATATTTATGAGAGTAATATGATCCTTGATTGAGTATCCTAAAACTAGTGTTCTATCTTTCCTTATGTATACCAGTCAGGCCTTTCATCTCGGAGAGATGAAAGGCCTTTGACTGGATACAACTATCTGTTACTTGTTGTATCTAGCTTATTCTATTTCATTCCACAATTTACAATTATACTAATCTGGTGGGCGGCGATGCCTCACCAGTTCCTGATCCGTGCGCTCGTGGCAACTGATCCATATTATCCTCCTCCCCTTACATAATTGTCCTCAATTATCATGACACTTCCTTTTGAGACATATCTCAGTCTAATCTTTCTTGCAGACGTTG